CTGGTTCTGTTTCTGTTTCTGTTTCTATTTATCTTTTTTATTCTGTATCTGTTTTTGCTTAAAGTTTCTGTTTTTGCTTTTAATTTTGTTTCTGTTTCTGTTTCTAATTTTGTTTCTGTTTAGTTTCTATTTCTGCATCTGTTTCTGGCTTGGTTTCTGTGTTTGCTTCTGATTCCGTTTCTGGTTTTCGTTCTGTATCTGGTTCTATTTCTGTTTCTATTTACGTTTTTGTTTCTGTTTCTGGTTCCGTTTTCTGGTTCTGTTTTTGGCTCTATTTCTGGTTCTGTTTGCTTTTCTGTTTCTTGTTTTGTTTCTGTTTCATTTTCTATTCATTTTCTATATTCTGTATCTTTTTATGTTACAGTTTCTGTTTTTGTTTATGTTTCTGATTTTGTTTCTGTTTCTGAATTTACTTTTGTTTCTTTTTCTGTTTTTCGTTTAATTTCTGGTTTTATTTCTGTTTCTATTTACGTTATGGTTTTTGTTTCTGTTTCTGTGTCTGGCTTAGTTTCTATTTCTCGTTCTGTTTTCTTTTTCGATTCTTGTGCTCTTTCTTGTTTCCGATTCTTTTTCTGATTCGGTTTCTGTTTCTGTTTCGTTTTCTGTTTCTGTTTCTCTTCTTGTTCGGTTTCTGAGACAGAAACCCAGAAACAGGATTAGAAGCAGAAACAGAAACAGAAACAGGACCAGAAATAGAGCCGGAAAAATAACCCAAAACAGAACCAAAACAAAAACAGTACCAGAAATAGAACCAGAATCACAAACAAAAACTGAAACAGAACAAGATTCAAAAACAAAACAAGAAATGGAACCAGAACCAGAACCAGAAACAAAAACAGAAACAGAAACCGAAACAGAAATAAAAACAAGAACAGAACCCAAAACACAACCAAAACAGAAACAGTACCAGAAATAGACCCAGAATCAAAAACAAAATATGAACCAGAACCAGAATCAGAAAAAGAACAAGAAACAGAACTAGAACCAGAAACATTCAGGAAAAGAAAGAGAACCAGAACCAGAAATAGAAACAGAACGAAAAACAAAAACAAAATCATAAATAAAAACAGAAACAGAGCCAGAAACAGAACCAGAAACAAAAACATAAACATAAACAGAAACATAAACATAAACATAAACATAAACATAAACAGAACCAGAACCAGAACCAGAAATAGAGCCGGAAACAGAAATAGAAACTAAAAATAAACAGAAACAAAAATAAAAAAACCAGAGTGGGAAACTGAAACAGAAATAAAAACAGAAACAGTGAGAGAAACAATTCCAGAATCAGAACTAGAAACATAAACAAAAACATAAACATAAACATAAATAGAAAAAGAACCACAAACAGAAACAAAAACAGAAACAAAAACAGAAACAGAACTAGAAACAAAAACAGGATCAGAAACATAAACAGAAATAAAAACATAAACAGAAAAAGAAACCAAACAGAAACTGAAACTGAAACATATACATAAACAAAATCAGAAACAGAAACAGAAATATAACCATAAATATGGCCAGAGCAGAACCAGAAACTAAACAAGAAAATGAAACAGAACCAGAAACAGGATTAGAAGCAGAAACAGAAACTGAAACAAAAACAGAAACAGAA